AAGTAACTTGTAGCATGTTCTGATCTTAGTACTAAGTTGTTGGTTTATTTAAACGTGTTCTTTACTTCCAAACAGACCAACCTTTTTACGTCATAGATTTTCCTGTAGTGACAAAGTGTAATGTAATACCAGTTCTGCCATGACTGTAGGAAAAGATGTGGATGCGATACGCATTGAAAGTTATAAAGATGTTTTATCCTTACTTTTTTAAAATGAGAAGTCTATAATTTTTTCCTGATTGTTAAGCTAAAATTGAATTTTTGGCCTTTCTGTTTTCCCAGTTAAGCTGTTTATTCAACATCTTTTCAGAGATAAAGCCTTCATGCTGCTACCGTTTGGTAACACGTCTTAGAAAATACTGAGTCCTCCAGAATAAATACCAGACTGCAGTCAGGTCCTGTGTGCAGATTACATTGCACTTTGCTTGTAGACTGGCTTTCCAAAAAGGAGTGACTCTAAAAGGGATTTGGAGCCAATAGTTCACTATTCCTCATGTGATGAAGTAGCTAGAAGAGTTGAGAGAATTCTTCAATTAATTACCAGTGAATTCCTGAAGTTACTAACAGAGAATATTTGCATTGGAAAGAATATTACTGTCCGCGCTTTAAAGATTGTTTAGTAATCTGGAGGATGTTTAAAAAAGTTACAGTAATTGTTGATGGCCTAGTATTTAGACTGTAAATAAGAGGTGAAGGAAATATAGCCATGTCTTCCTTTTGTGTATGTGAGTTTGGTTTTGTTTGTTTATTTTTTTTAATCTAATAGAAACTGAATCAATGACTTAATCTTGTTCTATGAGTACCTTCATGTAAGCAAAGATAGACAACTTTCTAACTAAGCAAAGGCCTACTAGGTTTCTGTGGCAGAAGGCTGGTGCTAGGTAGACTCACAAGGTAGGAATAAAGAACAGATTTTAAAAGACTCTGATTATCTATCAGATCACTTTATATAGGAAAATGACACATGTTGCATTACGCAGATCAGTTAGGAGTATATCTTGATTCAGGGATAACTTAGTTAATTTCTATGGCTTGTGTTATCTAAGAAATCAAACTAGATGATTGTGTGATAGAATTTTCAACAGTAATTTTTGTAAGCAGAAGATACTATTACATACCTGTAGGTTACTGTTGAGACATCCCAACTCCCTTAACAGGTGAGGATAAGACATACAAATACACTGCTGTACCATATTGTCTAGTTGGAAAAATGGAGAAGTATGGCCTTATTTGAAGAATAATCTTTTTGCATATGAGAAGTTACAGCAGGGCTCTCTGTCGTTTCTTAGGTTTTTGCATTTCTGTGAATTTTCAAATAATAGAGTTCTAACTTTAGTTAACCTGTTCAAAGAGGCAAACCCTAAATCTCTCTTTTGGACAACTTGCCTGTAATTCTGGTGCAAGCGACTGCTGAATACCTCTCTGATTTAGAGCACGGACACAGCAGGTGAAAGACTAACACAGATAAAATAGGTTTCTAAAGTTGTTATGTTAAATGCAGGTTCCTGGGTTTTAGTCTGTTAACAGGTTTTCTTAAAATCTCTCTCTTATGATAGAAAGGTGAACTTCCTTTCTTTTTGTCCTTTAGCCAGTTTCCCAGTTTCAGTGAACTGATACCCAAAAAGAAAGTTTCCATCTGTGTTTTTAAAAAGGATTTATTAGGTTTATTGCAGCGTGACTGCATTGGACTGACTGACAAACACGTTGTAGTAGCTTAGGGTACCTTAATCCTGCTTCCAGCTAAAGCTTTAAATTGTGTATGTGAAAGTGGATGGAATTCTGTACCTCTGAAATAGCACAATGCTTCGAAGATGCGAGAATGTTAACTTTTGTGCTTTTCAAATTCTAAGTGGAGGAAATCGTCCCCTTAGCTAAAACTTCTGTGAATTTTCACTTAATGAAGTCATTGCCTCTTTAAAAAAAGTAATAATTCCTCCCTACATCCTGTTGTGTTGCTTGCCTCATGTCTCTTAGAGGTGACTGGATTTCTTGGATGAGTAGTTTCCGTATAAGATTATGTGCTTAAAATCTGTGAATTGAACGAAGGATTCTGTATGAAAAGAAATGCTTGATTTAAATTGAATTATTCAGCTGAATTCAATTGAATTATTTGTTTTTTTCAGATCAGTTATTGTCTGTTGATAATAGACAATAGAGATCTTTTCTCAATGTTTTTCTTCTGCAAATCTTTCATAATTTACAAAATTGTTACTTAGAGTCTGTAAGATAATAGTATGCTATTGATACAGTGCTCTCATGATGTAAATAGACAGTTTTGGTGATCAGAAATTATAATTTCACAACAACCTTTGTTTATCAGGAGAATTTGAATACTTTTGCATTAATGTGCTAAACTAATCGATCTAATCAATTTTTCTGGCTCTCCTACAGGCCAATGAAAATTCAGTTGTCATATAAGTAGTTAAAAGTAGCAAGGAAATGATGGAAATGTGGTTCAGTAAGGTTCTCTTAACTATTTATTTTAAATTCTAATGTAATTTTTTGGGGTGAGGTTCTCCCTTCTTACGCTAAGTGTTAACATTCGAAATAGTCACTTTAAGCCATCTTGCTTTGCGTCAGTCCAGTCTTGAGAAGACAACTAAGATGCCTATTTTGAGGCAGTTGTTAAAAGCTGATGCTTCACTTAATGTTCTTGATGCTGACTAGCTTGTACTCTCTACTCAGGTTTTTGCATTGTTTTGTAGGCTATTTCATGCTTAACTGAAATTGTATGATGCCTGTAGTATAAACTATTATTACTCAAAACTAAGAGAGGAAGGAAGGAATTTGGTATTTTCCAGAGGAATATATTGTAGAATTTTAATTAATGTCTTCATTGTGGCCTATTAGTTTTAATAAAAACAAACAAACAAACAAAAACCCATGATCTTCACGAGGCTTTCGAGCAGTCCTTGGAAAGCTGAGCTTCTAATTAGCGCTATATTACAAATGCATAACGCAGACATCTAGAGCTGGAGTCTGTCGGTCATAATAATCATTACTGATAGGCTGTACCCTGTGGCAAATAGATTCATTGTAATTTTCCCCATTGTAACTGATAATTCTTTGCTTCTCTTACAGATACACCTTTTTTAAAATAATTCTTTGGTTACTTTTTAAGTTGGAAAAATTGTGTTCCAAAATCCTTGGTTACTGTTGTCTTTGTTATCCTTGTCCTGAAAAAGTACTGCATCTGTTTGCATGCAGTTTTTTACCTAAAACTGTGGTAAAGACCTAAAGTGTAGCGTATGTATTTATAATGGTTTATTTTTATACAAAAATATATTTAAAAAGTAGTTGTATCATAGCTGAAATATTCTCCAAAATGAAAAAAAGTTAACCATATTTTCTATTAACAGCATATTGCAGAAAAATTGCTGGCTTTCCCATACCGCTCAGAAGAAGAGGTACTCATTAAAAAAACAGAGAAGCATATATATAATATTAAATACTATTCTTCTATATACTTTTAAAGGCCTTTATTATCACTTATGCTGTTGTAAGAATGATCTTTTCTAATACGTATATTTTAAAATAAAAATAGATATGTTGCTTTTTGATACTATTTTTGTGCTTGTGTTCTTTCTGCAGAAACTAAATAATGACATGACCCTCAGCTAGCTGACTGACTGACTGAAAACGTGACTAGACATGGTTCCTGTGGACAGTGACAGCTTTTTATTGTTACTTAGTTGATCTTATATATACGATATTTTCTGTTTAAAAAATGCGGACATGTAGTTTTAAAAATTATCTAGCCATTTAAAATTGTAAACTGATGGTTATTCTTGTAGTAGTCTGTCATCTTGTATTATAGAATAAATCTGTTGTGTTTAACTAAATCCCTCCTCTGACATGGAAGTTACAATGATGGGGAAAAAATAAAGGAGTCAGCATTTTGTGGCTTTTCTGGGTTTTTGCTGCCAAGGTAGAAGGCACTTCTAGTGGCCAGAATTACAGTGCAGCAGTAGATTAAAAGAAAATGAAATAATTATTTCAGAAACGACTAGCAAATCTGACAGTATTCAGCCAGATTCAGAAAAACAGCTGTGCTCCAGAAGATGATTCAGGTATGCTCTTAAACATTTTGCTGATTTAGGTGAAAAGTATTCATTATGCTTTATATACTGTTCAGTGCAGAGGACATTTGACTGAGTCAGACGACTGAGCTACTGAAACTTATCCATGTCTATTTTGAGGTATTTTGATTGTAATTGTGGGGGACGTATAGAGTCTGGGGAATTTTTGTTTATTTGTTTTTTTTTTGATTTTTTTTTTTTAAAGAAGCTTTCTGTAGATATGCTGTTTGAGTAAGAGTTGGGTAATTCAGTAAAGCAGGACCATTGGTGAAGAGTAAACTGAAAATAAGTATTTGCACAGATAACTTTCAAATACCAGCTTTTCTACGCACCTTAGAATGCTATTTGTTCAGTTCAAAATATCCTGGTTATTAAAAGATTAGGCCAGCGGTTTTAAGAACTGATTTTTATGCTAGAGCACCAAGTCTAGATTTGGGGCTGTGTAAATGAAAATGTTTTATTTCTGTTCCCCTGTGTGCACACAGAACACTGAATTTCTACCGCTTGGTAAATTCTCATTGCATGTACGCTGGAGGACAAGTGTGCTCTGTGATACCCCTCCCTTCCCAGCTTCTCCAGTTCTGCTCCCTTGATCATCAGCATGGGGAGACTGAATGGAGCATCCTGGAGGTCCATCCCTGAGCATCTTTAGGAAGGGTTCCTTCCGAAGAAGTCCCAGGCATACAGGGAAATAGTGGTGTGAAAGCACGTCTTACTCCTTTGGTTACCAGGCATGCAGGATAGTCAGCTGGCAGCTAGCGTGTACAACTTCAGTGAGGTGGGGAGTTGTTTTCCCTGAGAAGGGATGTGGTATCATAGGCGAGAAAGAATAAACGACATGTTGCAGTGGATCTGGATACTGAGCTTTATTTAAGAACCAGCAAGATTAGAGCTTTTACCCTACCTGATTATTTCACATGCTTGCTCATGTGCAGCCTCCGCGTTATTAGGTTCACTTAGTCTCTGCTTCCCTCCCAGCAGGGAGATTGCTGCTGCTCCTGAAAGATCAGGCAGAAAGTTGTGTCAGTTTGTGCTCTGCTGCTGCTCACAGCTACCAGTCTTGGCTGTTACTGCCCAAGGTTCCTGGGCATCCTTCAGTGTTCATCTCCCCTCATCTCTGATCTCTGTCCAGGATCTTCTGCCACATCCAGGCTCTTCGCTTTCTTTTCAGGCCCCTTTCTTCTTTCTGATAACATCAGGAACCCTTCTTGGCCTCCTTTCTGGTGCCCCAAGTGCCTGTTTCTCCCAGTCTAAGTAGTCATTGTGCAGAAGCACAACACCTCCTGGTAGGTGGTTTTGTTTAATATTTCTTAATTTAAGCATTTTTTTTCCACCTACGACAGATGGTCTCCTTTTCTTATTCTCTTTCTTTTCAAAGAGAAAAAGGATGTCAGAAGGTATTGGGTAATACCTCTGACTGTAAATAGCTCAGAGATGAGGAAGAAACCCTTCTTAAATTTCCTCGGTTCTGCAACAGCAAAAGACCTGTACCTGTTAAGACAAACCCCCAGATGGGGTTTGGTTACGGGGCTGGGGCAGTGAGGGTAAGGGGCAGAACAGCAAAGAGTTTGCAATGTTTTTAATTGGAAGGAAAGCTTTCTCACAGCTTACCGCTTTACCTTTCAGTGCTTTACAGTCAGTTCTCTCTAAATATAGCAATGCGAACTTAGATTAGTCATCTAGCAGTGTAATGAGAGTTCAGCTACTACGAAATTAATGCAATTAGAACAATATTTACCAGAATACATAACACTTCTTATGCAGCAAATGTTTTAAAGCATGCTGTATTTATAACGTGTTTAGTGAGTACAAGAATATACTATGAGTTAGTCCCTATAAGATACAGCCACATTCAGATAGTTTTAATTATATCTCTTTCTAAAAATTGGTAGGAAATAAAGAAAAATCTCTTGCGTTAGAAAGGGTGTATGAGAATAAAAGAGGGCTGTTGCTGCAATTGGTTCAGAAGTTTAAAATGGTAGAAACTGTAGTCTGTAAGCACAAAGCAATATTATTTTTTAAGTTAAAGAACATTAGAATAAGATTGCACAGTCAAATGCGCGCATATTAGGAAGCTACAAAATAACAATTGCCTAAGAAACGTTATTTTGCTCATCTCCATTCTAATGTGTATTCTAGTATTATTATTCTCGTATTATGATGCAGTGCTTCATGACTCGCCAGCAGTTTTGTTCCCTCTCCCCCCCCCCCCCCGAGAGCAGCCACTTCATTCAACACAAACGATGAAGTTGAATCAGGGCTGCATGGTTAAAGGAGAGCGCCTGTAAAATGCCTGCTTAATTTGTTGTAGATGTTGGAAACTATATAGTGAATTAAACTAATTTATGATTAAACCTGGAGAATTGGATCCTGTCTCTCACTCTGTCCTGGAGATCTTCTGGGAGGAGGGTTGCCATTTCTCAGGCTCTTCTGGCAGAGTCTTGGGGTCTTTTTGTTGGTTTTTTCCCTTCATCAAAAATTTTAAGTAGAATTTGGGGTTTTCCTGTATTTGCTCATGGGAAATAGTTCTGACGAGGCTGCATTACAAAATTCCAGTACTGTCAAACAGCAGCTTTGTAGGTTAACTACACAATGTATGTGTGTGCAATAGAACAAATATTTTTGGAAAGCATCAGTCTTACTGTGCAAACGTGACAGACGCACTCTGTGCTTGTATAGGAGGTCTGATGCATGCTGCTGAAAGTGCATGATGCAGTGTGTAGGCATGTTCAGATAAAGCTAAAATATAGCCTAGAAATGGGGATGTACTGTGCCTATGCAGGCATCTTTTCAGTGTATGTACAAGAGGTCTGATTCTTTTTGGGTGAACATACAGCAAATATATGCTTGATGCTGCACCATCATTTAAACCAAACTTTTCCTTTGGGTTCAAGGGGCTCATGCTTTTATTTTCCGTTATCTGTTTAGAAACCTTGGATGTAGAATGCGGAAGTGTTGTTTGCTCAAAGCTATGTGTAAAAACACAGAAGACATTTTAAAAATATAGAAGGATAACTGTAGGCATGCTATTGATATGCTAGGTTAAATAGCTAGAATCTCTGCATAGTCAGTGAAAAAAGGAGTGCTCCTCGTTTATGTGCTCTAATTGGCCTTTTTGATGAATGTCTTCTCTATGTCAGGATCCCCAGTCTCACGTGACACTGAATTTGGATGCCTATTTGTTTAGGTCATGTAGAGGTCCTCCAGGAGTGTAAGTATTCTGAAAATTGAAGTTTCTGGTGTCACAGTTTGGACATCAAGCGTTTGCAGGAAGAATCAACTGTTAGAATGATTCAAACAGCTACTGGAGAGAGCATTCAAAGCGCATTAAGATATCCTTTACAACTTGAATTAATGTTACAAAGTAGAAAGAACACTACCATTTTCAAATTGTTCTCGAACCTCTCTGTTATTGTATGTCTATAGGAATTGTAGGCTACCCTTCTCCTCTGGGAATGATCAGTTTTCATAGTCATACTTTGGGCTATGTGGTAATTTCGGTTGCTTGCTTATTTGATCAGGTCTTACAAACCAAACAGAATTGGGCTGATATTTAGAGAAAAGAAATTTCCTCATTTTCAGTACTGAAACTTCAGGATGCCTTAAGGAGTAACTCTGCAAGCAGACTGTTTTTTCTTTTTTGTCATTGTTGAATCAGTCTATTAGATGACTCACATGGAGTCATTTGTACTGTTGCGGTAACATCTTTTAGAAGATCTTTAAAACCGAAGTAATCACTTGCTGTCCTTAGGGTTCAGCATGTTTCCTGAAAGCATGGATGTACTAGTCCTCTCTTGCTAAATCTTTGTGTAAATACACTTTGCTGTTTTAAATTCCCCTAGCAGTTTTGATTGGATATGATATCTGTCGCTCCTTGTTGTAAATTGTTATATAGCACTACTGCTAAGTAGCTGGTATACTGTACTTACCGGTCTTTTCATCGATAGGTCAAAAACTATGTGTCTACAGAGAATGAACATTAGATTTCTCTACTGGAAACTGTAGCGCATATATTCCTTCTGCTAGACATTAGCAAACTGGCCAACATAGTATAGATTTTTTTTCTGTGTGTGTATTTTTTTCTTAGTAATAATGCTTTAATGTTGGTAACTAGCTTACCAGTAAGTGACTTGGATTTCTGCTATGTCATCAGCCATACTTTCTGCTGACATTAAATGAGGTTTTTGTAGCTTTTGAAAATGAGAAAATAAAGATTTCATTTATTATGCTAAATGATGTCCAGCAGAAATTATATTAGCCATTTATTGAGTCATATCTGCTTGATCAGCAGAAGAGTCTGTGCAAATGGGAGAAAGATACTTGCATATGTTGCCTGAATGTTTACATTAAAGCATTTCTGATCATTAACTGAAAAAAGGCCATTCTCAAGGGGGCTGTTTGTTCAGTAAGTGTTCTGTGAGTCTATAATTACCGTTCACTTCACTGGGTCTTGTGGCTCTTTCTCTTCCGTTGCACAAGCCAGTACTAGAGTACTTAACGTGGGGGCAGATTGCATGCACAACCGGCTTTCACTTGCGTGCTTCCTTCTTCTTCCTGTTAATGGTCCATTTTCTGACCCGAGCTATTCTGTCATGTTACTTCTGTGTCTACGAGGATATCATTGAATGTCTGCAGTGCTGGGAACCTATACTTTTTAGACTGCTAAATGAAAAAGTACAGTAAGAGTCAAAAGAATGATCATATGTAAATGGAAGCTATTGAAGCTGAAAACAGCATGTAATTATGTCCAAGGTCCGATTCAGGAAAATTACACATTTAAAAAGTTCAGAAAAATGGTATCCTGAGAACATAATCTGCATTT